CGAAGGTTTCACAATCCGCTTCCTTATCATGGCTAAACCTAATAGCATTCTCCTTGTCTGACTTTACCTAATAGTAATTGTTATTTAGATTGGCAGTAGGTCGACTTCCACTAACTACTTTTTGGCAACTGATTTTACTATCTTATCAAACTTTGACGTCAGGCAATCTAATAACAGGTAGCCATCTTGGTAAGGTCCATTAGGCTCTCTTGGCCTTTGAAACTAGTTCTGATCGAGTCAGATTGTTGTCCGGAATGTGCCTGCAGACTAGCTATGCCGTGTCCGTCCAGTTTGTGAATAGACTTCGGAGTTTACGAAGAAGAGAAATACCACTTTATTACATGTAACGTTCACTGTGCATTCTGTGCGTTCAACATACATCTTCAGCCTAACATAAGTCTTCAGCCTAGAAATGTACAGTCACGGCGGTCTGTCACTACGGCATTCTTTCCCATTGCCGGGGGCGTTCGATAAAGTATCGGGTTACAAGACGCAATTTTGGGCTAACCGTAAAACATTTGAAAATAAACAAACTAGTATCGAAGGGACAATTTCGTTGAAATAAAATAAAATTATTGTCTTTACATACATTCAATGGTGATTTTTTGCGCTAAATGGATGATTTTTTCGTATTTCGTTAAAAAAGGCGACAATTTTCGGGATTTTGCAGCGTCATATTTTAGCCAATCACCGAGCAAACCTGGCTACACATATTACGCAAGATCACTGATTTTTATGTTTTTTGACGACTAGGAATAAGACGAAAAATCGTGCTTTTGGGATTTTTTAATTTCTGACTATAAGTATAGTTTTTCTTGACAAATAGTTCAAAAAATCGAATTTTTTGGCTTTTTTCGCACTCAATTACCCGTAATTCAAAATCAAACGCATTTTTCAAAAATCCCAAAAGCACGATTTTCGGGACAACCGTGACAGTCATTTTGAGCCGTAAATGGGGTATGTTTGACTCTCCATGTTTCCAGGTTTGAACGAGTTGTGCAGACATGTCATATCTCCCAAAAGTGTGCACCGTGTTATTCATAAAGGCGTAAAGAATCATTACAGTATTCAAGGTCACCCAAGGATACGACAGTAGCTTCGCTACATGTTACATGTCCACAAAAAAATTATAGCGGACATGTACTGTCCTGGAAACTGTTTGTATCTATAGAAAAGTGTTGTTTTTTATCTGTTGCGAGTCACTCAGGCAGAAGGGCTTGTTTTGATGCCGCTTTATTGCAAATGACCGCAGGTGACCCCGAAATGGAACGCGGGTTCGATTCGAATTGCCCAGATCGAACACGATCGAACACTGTTCGGATTCTATGACATGTGGGAACTTTACAGCCCAGATTTTACCACCGTGAGTCTGGTCTAGTATCAATAGTAATAGCAAGTAGCTATCTTGGCAAGGTCCATTAGGTTCTCTTGGCCTTTGAAACTAGCTCTGATCTAGTCAGATTGTTGACCGGAATGCGCCTGCACTCCTCATTGTTTGCCTTGCCCCGCGGTCCTTCTCCGTCTCTGGCATTTCGGGTTAGATCAGATGGATGCGCCCGTGCGTCCCTCCGGAACAGACACCGTGGTATATCATGAAAGAATCATATCACATCCCCAGACTGCGATTC